CAAATAGTCTTCATGTTCAGATCACAATCTAGTTGAGATTAACCAACATTGCCAGCAGTGGTTGCAGCCAAGTAGTGGAATGCATTTGGACTTTTTTTCCCCCTGATTAGTCAACAAGTGACAGTTCCTTTCATGCTTAGAAAATGGGCACGTTGTATTTGTGTGGAGATTTTGGGCAAATAATGCACACAGTCTGTCAGAAGAAGTTTTCGCCTTCAACGTGTGGACACACGATCAACTGACACGTCTACGAAGATATCGTGTGGCGTTTGCTTCGTTCATTGCGCAAGAAGGTACAAGAGTCGTGGCAGGATCATTCATAGCTGCTTCACCATGACAATGCACCTGCTCACAATGTCCCGAGCATCTGACACTTCCTGGCTGAGAGGACCATCACCTCGCTTGTGCAACTTGGTCAACATCTTAAGGGGGTCTTCAAGGGGGCCCGCTGTAAGGACACGGATGACATCAAGACGGCCTTGTTGACGGAGCTGTGAAGGGATCTGTGAACAATCGTTCCATGAGTTGCACGAAGATGTGGCAGAGAATGCTGGAAAAGTGCGACGCCAGGTGGCCTACTTCAAAGGCGAAAACTCGTTTGTCGTTTGAATATTTAGAATACTGTCTACCTTTTATGGGACACGTGAAACTTGTCTGACACACCTCGTAGACACAAATATTGATCCCGGAATCAGTAACCACTTAAAGACAATGGCAGAACAAAGTATTTATGTTGCAAACTAAAGAGGTGTATCCATCATATTTGTGCACATCATGATTTCTGAATATGCTGCGACAAAATGTTTTGGTGTTCGTGCTGCGGCCTCTCAGAATTGCCAGTTGTGTTTTCCTGTAACATTTCGGACTTAATTCGTGTTGGGCAACGTGCAAACTTACTCAGTCGTAGAAGCTCCTTTCGGTCAAAGTCCTGCAGATTTGCAATGTTTGTTTACGACACAGCTGCGGTCCAAGGAGTAGAGAAACTTGACATGTGGCTTATTTAAGCTCACTCTGCAGCTTTTATCTCAGTTTGCACAGCGATTGACACACAGTAGCTTCTGTCTTTCACACCGTCTCTAGAATAACAAAACTTGCCTTCTTGGGCTGGCTGGTGGTGCAACATAACATTGAAGCAAGTGTACATGCATGTGTGAGTGGAGTTGTGCCACTCCCAGTTGTGTTGCAGCAAAGACACACTCACTTCCTGTCTGTGAAAAAAAAAATGGGTGTGACTCATGGACAAGAGGTATTTCGAGGACGCTGAACATTTGATGTGCGGCGTACAATCTCACATGTAAAGTGTGCAGTAATAAACACTTTTCATCCAGGGTTTTGCTTTAAAAGCCCCTGAGCTCTTTTTTGACATGCTGATACCGGCCGTGATTCCAACTTGAGTTGAACAACGACGCACCCTCTTTGATGCTCAGTTAATTGGAACTTGTCAAAGTGAATCACGCATATACTTTTACATCCCAGTCTTCGTCCTGTTTGTTTCCACACAAGCATCAAAGTGACAAACTTTTTAATGATGAGTTGGAGCACGCTGCATTTGCTTGGGCTGGGTGTGACACGGGGCCTCATCCAAAAAGTCACTGTCTTGGATCATCGATGGTGAGATAAAATAGGAAACGCGTGCGGGACCATGCATGCAACACTGAGCGGCTTTTGATTGGTCTCATGAAATTTGCACCTGTTTCAAGATATGAAACCACCTTTCTTTAAAAAGCTGGAAAGGAAGAAAGTACAGTACTGTGTGGTCTTCCTTCTTATAGTTACTGAAATTGCTGTATTTGACAGTATGTGAGGATGCAAGCAGAAATAGCATGACGGAAAAAAAAGAGAGGAGTAAAACATGATTCGGTTAGCATTTTAAAAACATACGAACCGAACATAAATCCAAACAATTTTCAGCCACTGCACTCGAGTCTTTAAAAAGTTTTTGAATGCTATTGTAAATATGTTTCTATCACAGTGTGATGCCCATTTTCCTTTGCCAAGTGTTCAACAAAACATTTTTTAAAACAATCTCCTTTGAACTCATAGTGCAAGACGTTTCATTTAACTGAATTGAATTGAATTTAGAATTCAACAAATTGTAACTCCTATACCAAGGCCACAGCCATAAATGTGTTGGAATCCACGCAAGGAAGCCAACACTACTTTATCTAAAAAGAGGTCATGTAAGTCAGCCAACAATGTGAGTTACTGAAGGCTAAAAAAAGCATTTCTTTCCATCCAGCCATTTTCTTCTGTGCTTGTCCTTTATTGAAGAGGACCCCAACCATCTTTTAGGCCACTGCCCGGTTTGTCTGATCGGCATAATAAATAAATAGATCAATAAATATTTAATTAAACATTATTATGCTCGTCATTACGCTGAATGGAGCTGTGTGTTGAGATACTGCTTTTTTTCTTTCAAAAAACTCCTAAGGCTTGTCTTTTGATGCTGGACGCTTGGGCCCCATGTGCTGAAACAGTTTTGAATGCTTCATTGCCTCGTTCGCAAACCTGTTGCGACATATTGCGCAGAGTAGGTTTGGTACATGTGAGTCACCATCAATAAACCTGCAACTTCAGGAGGGGTGCCGATATTGTCTCTTGAAGACAGATTTCTTGGAAATCATAGGCTCTTTTTTCTCATTATTTAACCTGTTCACTGTAACATATTTTGTTGTTTTATTGAAACTCATTTTTTGCCATCTTGTACCTTTCCTCATATCAGATGACTGAGAATAGTGTTTTGACAGAGGCAGTAGGCGATGCACCTGATTTCCAAAAAGAAACTTACCGTAATTTCTGGACTATAGACCGCACCTGATGATAAGCCGCACAACTACATTTTTAAAGGAAAAAAATATTTTGTACACACATAAGCCGCACCTGTGTATAAGCCGCAGGTGCCCATATTGTAACATGAGATATTTACAAAGAAAGACGATACACAGGCGGCCGTTAGAAAAGTCTTTATATAAGCCGCTTCATGAAATAAGCCGAAGAGTTGAAAGCGTGTGACAAAAGTCGCAGCTTATCGTCCGGAAATTACGGTACAGTAAATATTCCCATCCCCGGAATTCTATGAAAAGGAATATCCTTCACCCGGAACAAAAGCCTGTGCATTAACATTTTGACTACGATATTGCATGTTACCGGAACTTACGTAAGCGGAAATTCCACTACCCGTAACCCGGATTGAGACGTCATGCCGCGGGAGCTTAA